AGGTAAACAACGTCTCTCTCTCTATAAGTGGTGGAGTTGAGGGGTGATGCCCCACCAGCAGACAGAAGAGATTCCCAGAAGCACAAAAGTAGGGGGAGATGCCCTCATGAATTCTTCCTTTCCATCAACTTCTTTCCAAGATGTCCCAACAGGAGTTTCTTGCAGGCCCACCTGTTTGAGAACTTCTGTGTGTTGGTCCTCCTTAGAGAGAAGAACATACCATAAATCAGCAGTTCTCAACCTGTGGGTCAGGACCCCATTTGGGGTCGAACGACCATTTCACGGGGGTCACCAAACAACACAGTCCGCCATTTCTTTCCCCTTTTCCTTAGCTGTGCTACTCCCTTTTATTCTATTGGCTTTTGAAAGCCAATAGAATAGACTCTCTTGAATAGAGTCTAATTCTATTGGCTTTCAAAAGCCAATAGGAATTGTCCAGGCTGTCTCTGCCCTGCTTAGCCTGCCAAAAATCCCATTCTGCAAACGGTGCTGCAAGTTGTCTGCAGCGAAGGCGAGCTGTCTGGAAGCTTCCACCCTTCCCTGCTGAGCAACTACTAAAAATGTAAGTAAAAGAGGGCCAGGGGTGGGAGGTGGGAGGCCGGCGGGCGCAGGGAGGGTTGCTGGCGCGCATGGGGCCCGGCGGGTGCCTTACCTCCCTTGGGCTGGGCCAGCTGGTGGCCCAGCCGGTGGTCGGCCTGCGCCGTCTCTGCCGCTTGCCAGCTATGCCTCGGCCGGCGCAGGGGGCAGCACCACGCATGCGCAGCACTCCCGGGCAGGGAAAGTCCTCGACTTACGACCGGTTGGGTAGTCGACTTACGACCGGTTGGGGGGTCGCGGCATTAAAAAGGTTGAGAATCACTGCCATAAATGAAAACAACAAACACACGCCCAGGCCCCCAAAAGCATGATAAGAAAGCAAGAAAAGGGAGATGATGTTTCCAAAATAGTTCTTCTAATCCTGATTTGGAATCAGTTAAACAAAAAAGTGTTTCTCCTGGCATTGGAATGCATCGGGACTAATACGATTAAGAGAACTAAAAGGCGAAATTCTTGGCAGATTTCTGCATCTGGGTAATTAGGTACAGGAAGGGACATGCATAGTTTTCCATCCAGCTCTACAAAGTCCCAGGGCAAAGGTTGTTGTTTTTTTTGCACGTGTTTTTGAAAAAAGGGGAAAGCCCGTTGATGTTAAAACTGGATTTGATGGTTAGCAATAATCATTGGAGTGTGGTGTTTCTGAACCCCAGCAGGACAAGCCCCCTTTATGTCTTCTCCATTTCAAAATCCATTTGATCTTGAAAGTCAGTTTGAGCCTTAATGGTAAGAGTTGGACTTCGATCTGAAAATTCACTTTCTGCTTCCACAGGCGACTGGTGTAAACCATTGTTTTAACAAAATCAAGAAAAGGTGGTTTGTCCACATAGCCAGGTTACCGAGCATCAGAGAGGGAGCCACAAAAAGCCTCTTTTCAGTTTTCTTCTGGATTATTTGGACTAGAAAGAAAATTCAAAGAGCTCGACGCTCCTGCTCTTTAAAATGGTCCCATCAAAAGGTCCAGTTGGGTTACTTGCCAGCTCCGGTTCCAGGACGTATAGAGGTTTTAGCTCTGTCCTGTCCCAGTGTCCTTCATGGTTCTAAGGGCAGGGGTAGGCAACCTTGGCTCTTTTATGACTCGTGGACTTCAACTCCCAGAATTCCTGAGCCAGCCACGCTTAGGGGAAAGGGAGAGGTTTCCGAGCTGAGGTATGCTGGCTCAGGAATTCTGGGAGTTGAAGTCCATGAGTCAGAAAAGAGCCAAGGTTGCCTACCCCTGGCCTAGATGATAGGAAACTTGGCTCTTTTGTGACTCGTGGACTTCAACTCCCAGAATTCCTGAGCCAGCATGGCTCAGCATGGAAACCTCTCTCTTTTCCCTCAGCATGGCTGGCTCAGGAATTCTGGGAGTTGAAGTCCACGCCTCATAAAAGAGCAAAGGTGGCCTACCCCTATTCTAGGGTCATCTAGTCCATTGTGAAATGACCATGCCTATTTTGGGCACTTAATAAATGACTGTTTAAGAAGTAAAGAAGGGGTGATGATGGGAAACCCCCCCCCCAAAAAGGCTTATTACGCCATTCAAAGAGAACCAGTTTGCTGTAGTCCTGATGGCGTCAGGCTAGAAACCAGAGTTGTAGTTCTACTTTAGGAACAAAGCTAGCTGGGTGACCCTGGGTGGCCAGTCACTCTCGGCCCTGAAGAAGAAAGAAATGTCAAACCACTTCTGAAAAACCTTGCCAAGAGAACTTGTCCAGGCAATCAAAAATGATTATATGAGGGGGGAAAAAACACCATTTAAAACATCCCCCAAATGGATGATGGGGTGGCCCATGTTCCCTCACCAGATTTTAGCAGGAGCCCCCCCCCCCAGCAAGGGGTCAGAGTTGTGTGGGTTGGCGGGAAGAGAGAGCAAACCGATCCCAGGAATTGATCCCTGATGCGTGGAGATCGGGGCTTCTGAGAAGACCTGGCAGGATGGCAGGGCTCCTTTCTAAGCCCAACTGCCCAGCCAGATGAGGGGTGTGTGTGTGTGTGTGTGTGTGTGTGTGTGTGTGCTAATCCAATGATTGCACCCCAGGGAGACAACCGACTGGGCACCTCTCTTTCCACAGAGAAAATGAGAATTGTGCTCAAGGCCCAAAGCAGATTATCTCCAAATGCTTCATTTTGACACAGGGCTATAATTTTAAACATATAACCATAGTAACATTTACTAAGTTCTGTTCAAAGGAATCAAAGGCTTTTTCTCCTCCCTGTTTCAGTGGGGAGAGATAGAGAGAATTTGGGGGAGGGCGGGATTTTCTCGTTCGGTGTGATGGAAATAATATATTTGTTCCAAGAATCGTTTGTTTGTCTTTGCTTAAACAAATGGAAATGCTTTGTTTCCCCCCCTCCCCCTCTTTGTCTTTCGGTTGGACTTTTTGCAAAAAGGTATGCGGGATGGGGAGGGGAGTTAATGCCCATGCCGCCCTCTTATTGAACTCATATTGCTATTTTTTCTTCTTTTGGTTATTGCTTTTGCAGCTTTGAGTTAAAATCTAGTAAATGTAAAGAGAGTAGAAGATCGGGGTAAAAAAATATAACCTTAGTGATGAGTTGGCTTTAAAATATCCCTTTAAAATAATCCTGAATAGTATTACAGACATTTTAGTAATGTGATTTAATGTGAATACGCTGTTTATAAAATGGTTACAAGGCAGGGAGGGAGGGAGGGAGACAGACAGACCTAGGCAAAAGCAAACCAACAATTCTCAAGCAATAGCAAAACAGTGATAGGATTCACACCTCACACAGTGTCTACCTGGATTCAGTGTATAAATGGGGCATGGCATCCTCCCCTCGGTATCACTACAGGATCCAACATCAAACTGTAGATCACATCATGACTGTCTGTAAGCTGAGGGCATACACGGGTCCAGTATCTGATTTTTTTTTTAATATAAACAATGCTGCGCTTCAATGGTTAGATGACCTAGACGCGTGGACTTCAACTCCCAGAATTCCTGAGCCAGCATGGCTCAACTTGGAAACCTCTCCCTTTCCCCTCAGCATGGCTGGCTTAGGAATTCTGGGAGTTGAAGTCCACGAGTCATAAAAGAGCCAAGGTTGCCTACCCCTGGTCTAGACATTGAACCTAGATCTTTTTAACATTTGTATTTTATTGTGCTTTACTAATCTAGATGAAATGCTAATATATATTGCTAGTCCATGTACAATTTGCCATATGCTAAATAAATAAAACTGACACATATATGTAAATGCAGCTTGAGTACATCCTGGTATATTGGGAAAATGTGGTCTGAAATCTATGATATTACGGCTTCGTTTGGGGTGTGATGTACCAGCTTGTTACGAGGGTCAGGACAGGATTCAGCAACGCCCTTCCCTATATATATAAGCAGTTTCTGTTCACAGGATGGAGAAAATCTTCATACTCACAGTTCTGATCTCTAAAATGATGGATGTCTTTTTCAGATTGGCTGGAGCTTAGCCACATATAAAAGGTTTAATTTGCACACAAGAATTCTATAGAAATTCAAACTCAGCTTTCTCTGGGATTTAGCCAGTATGGCAAATTCAGATTAATAATTAAATTACCATTATTATTAAAACGTAGTATTATCATTTCATATCCACATTCAAAGAACCCTGTTATTATTAAGAGGTTGCTTATGCATTATTTATCTATTTATTCTATTTATCGTTAAAGAGAGCGGTTTACAGCAATCCCCCCCAAAAAATAAACAATTAAAATGCTCTTAGTAAGCAGCAGAATTGTTGTTGTTGTTAGTTGCGAAGTCGTATCTGACCCATCACGACCCCATGGACAACGTTCCTCCAGGCCTTCCTGTCCTCTACCATCTTCTGGAGTCCATTTAAGCTCACACCTCCTGCTTCAGTGACTCCATCCAGCCACCTCATTCTCTGTCGTCCCCTTCTTCTATTGCCCTCGATCTTTCCCAGCATCAGGCTCTTCTCCAGTGAGTCCTTCCTTCTCATTAGGTGGCCAAAGTACTTGAGTTTCAACTTCAGGATCTGGCCTTCTAAAGAGCAGTCCGGGTTGATCTCCTCTAGGACTGACCGGTTTGAACGCCTTGCAATCCAAGGGACTCGCAGGAGTCTTCTCCAGCACCATAGTTCAAAGGCCTCAATTCTTTGGCGCTCAGCCTTTCTTATGGTCCAACTTTCACAGCCATACATTGCAGCTGGGAAAACCGTGGCCTTGGCTATACACACTTTTGTTGGCAGGGTGATGTCTCTGCTTTTCAAAATTTCAAAAATGGTAAAATTGGTTTGTCACCAAATGCTTAAAGGACTTCTTCCTTTTCTGTATGTAAAACCGAAACTTTTATTCCAATTTTTACGAGGAAGCAGCTGATGGTTGGTTGGTTGGATGGATGGATGGATGGATTGGTTCTCTGTCTGGGGACTCAGTAACTCTCTGCTCCCTTTTTCTTTCTCAGGTGAGGAGGAGGAAGACGTCAATGTGCTGATCCTCAGCTACCCCCAGTATTGCCGGTATCGCTCCATGCGGAAACGGATCCAGGGCAAACTGTCCTCGGTGCAAGCAGACCAGTTCGTCTTAGCCCTGGGAGGCGTTGCAGCCATCGGTCAACGGTCCCAAATCCTCTACTGTCGCGACACGTTTGATCACCCCACACTTGTCGAAAATGAGAGCGTATGTGATGAATTTGGTAAGTCCCGTCACCTTTCTTTCTGTCTCAGGTTAAAAGGGTTGTCTGCAACCGCTCCCCATTTTGCAAGTGCGATTTCGTCACAATGCTGTCAAAAAGCATCACTTTACTGAGAAGCCAAGGAGGTGCCCAGAACTAATAGTCTTTATAGTTTAGTATCGGCATCACCGGCAAAAGGCTCTTAGAAAAGCAGCATGTTTGTTGATGGATGTAGATCAGGGCTTTTCAACCAGTGGTACGGGTACCACCTGTGGTACATTGGCACCTGGCAGGTGGTACGCGACCATCCTAGAAAAGTGGTAGCGGGAGAGGGGAAGGAGCTGAACCGGTGGCAGCACCGCACAAGCCTGAGCGAGAGATGGCTGGAGCTGCAGGGCTGTCAGGGCTCAGCAAAAGCGCCAGGATCAGTGTCGCTTTCCAGCTGATTGGAGCTTCTTCGGGACTGTCAGGGCTCAGCGGAAGCGCCAGGATCAGCGCCAGGCTCCAGCTGGAGCTCGGCACTGATCCTGGCGCTTCTGCTGAGCCCAGAAGAAGCGCCGATCAACTGGAATGTTGCAGCCTCTCCAGGGTCTTGTGATTTACATTCAGAGGGTTGGCAACTGATTCATATTTATGACGGTCACAGTGTCCCAGGGTCATGTGAAGTGACCAAAACCTGCTGCAACCACCCAGAAGACGGGGGGAAATAAAAACCAAACACTCCCCTCACCCCACCCCCACTGCCAATCCTCAACAGAAATGCTCACAACAATGAAAACCTCGGACAGGAGGAAGAGCGCCGCCGGGCGGGCAGGCAGGTGTCTTCCTCGGCTGTGGCATGGGGGGGCAATTTTTTCAGTGCCACTGTAACCTCGAACAGTCACTAAGCGAACTGTTGTAAGTCGAGGACTACCTGTACTTCATCACTTTTTTCCTTTTCTTTTTTTTTGGGTCATCAAGTTTTTGTTACACCTTGCTAGGCGACTGGTGGTACTCGGATAATTGCCATATCCTAAAAGTAGTACAATGGGTGAAAAGGTTGAAAAGCCCTGATGTAGATGACCCTCAAGGGCACTTTTGGAGGCCTATTTTGTGGTGTATTTTGTTCTTAGGCACAACTGCGCTGGGCCTCATTCTTCCAGGTTTGCTTATATACTTTGGGGTTTGCTGCATCTCTTTTACTCTTCAATTGCATGCCAGCAGAGAGGTGCTGAGGTCTTTTCTAGCTCAAGATGGCTCCGGCTTATCATGAGAACATCAACCGTTGGTTTTAGAGCTCTTGAGCCGTATGCTGTGGCCGATAAGCTCTAAACTGCTTGCTCTGAAGGAGACTCACGAGCTCCAGTGCCTGAAGCGTTGATGGACATTGTAAAACGAACGGCTCAATTGGGGAGCTCAGTTCTAGCAGAGACCACATTGTTCCTACGGGATCAGTGTTAGCTTCATCAGCTTCTACAGTTTGCAGTCCCCCGATGTACATTGTGGAGTTCAGATGGGCTGCACAAAGAGATGTTCGCAGAGCACACTTGTGAATATAAAGCACCTCCCTACACAACATTAGAGTAGTGACATCCTTTGCAACAGACATGTCAAACTCGTGACGTCGCGCAACATATCGGGACAGTGTTGCCATTGCTGGCAATGGGGTGGATACGGCTTCTGGATGACATGTCCGGCCCACGGGCCAGCAGTTTGACACCCCTGCTTTACAAGACTTGTTTGGAAGGCTATCCCCAGCAGTCTCCAGGTGTGTTCAGAAACTGGAGGTCAGCAGGCACTGTGCACCATGAACAAGGCACAGAAACAGCCCTTGAAGCACCTAGATGAGCTTTGCTAAGGATGCAGCTTTGCATTTCCAAGAGAGTAAATACCTCCTTTGTGAAGGTCCTCTTTGGCACACTTTGCACAACCAAGCCCTTAAAGCAGGGGTGTCAAATTCAATTTCATTGAGGTCCGCATCAGCATTGCGGTTGCCCTTGGGGGGCAGGGTGAGTGTGGCCAGGGTGGGTGCGGCCCACTGGGTGGGTGTGGATGAAGTGGGCGTGGACTACTGGGTGGGCATGGCCAGCTCTACATCGTTCGCGTCAAGGGGGCCTGTGGGGGCCTGGGCAGGAGTGGGACAGATCTGAGGGTCTCTGGCCGAAGGGGGTGGGACCGGGGCCAAGGCATGGTCCATTTCTTCATTCCTCACAAAGGGTGACACTTCCCCAGCATGCACCCAGGGGGCGGGGCCAACGTGGCAGGGGCTGGTTCCTCGCTGTTTCCGGATGGCCTTGTGGAGCTAAGACTGAATGCGTTTCAGCATAGATGGCCACCACAAAATTGTACATTGGCTCCTGGCCGGCCAGCCTGGGCCAGGGCCACGGCAGCGGGGGCTGTTCCCTCACTGTTTCCAGGATGGCTTCACGGGCCACATGAAACCACTTCGCGGGCCGCATCCGGCCCCCGGGCCTTGTGTTTGACATGTCTGCCTTAAAGTTATGTCCTTGTAAACACTTTTTGGAGGTTGACAGAAATGGTGGAGAGTCTTCCATCCCTTGTCTTTCCGAGTTTTGTCTCTGGATCCTGCACAGGTTTAATTATTGGAATAGGCTGTTTTTTTCTGAGTTTTTTTTTACCTGCGCTGCGTAAATCAGTATTTATTTACCATATCACTTTACAAATTAAATGACGTTCATAAATCTCTATAATGGGAAACCATTTGTATATGTTGGTGAAGACAAGGAGGAAATATATTTCTTATTCTGCTACCTGCTGCCCTGCTACTTATTTGACAAGAAATATGGTGTTTACATGGCTGGGGATAAGTGATGGTTTTAAAAAGAGAATGTTTTAGAAGACGGTGAGAAAATAAAGATGAACATGATCAGAAATCCCATACCACGATCCCTTCAGATTCAGAAGGAAAACTGTTCAGTCAGTTATGGGAGCTATAGATCTCGATTACCTTCATGCAAGGAAGTGTATCTTGGCTTTGGAGAAAGGAAGAGTTCAGGGTTGAACTGGGGGGGGGTCCTTGGTGCTCTCTGAGCTTGGTAGTTTTCTTGCAAGCATTTTATGATCCAACTAGGGAACCTCATCCGTAAATGTGGAGTTTGCTGTCTGTTTATCTTGACTTAGATCAGTGGTTCTCAACCTTTCTAATGCCGCGACCCCATAATACAGTTCCCCATGTTGTGGTGACCCCCAACCACTTATACATCACCAGGTGCCAGGGGTGTGGCCAAAGAAAAGGGGGAAAAAATGGTGGACAGCCTTGTTTGGCGACCCCCGTGAAATGGTCGTTCGACCCCAAATGGGGTCCCGACCCACAGGTTGAGAACCACTGCCTTAGATGATGCCCAGAGTCCAAAAGTTGTAAGCCCAGCACAAGACCTGTGATTTAATTTAAAGATAAATTAATTTTAATTAAAGTGAAATATCATTTTGATAAGGGCTCCCGTGCGTGTAGTAACTTCCCCATACAAGATATTAACAATTCCAGTTTGGTAATTACTTTTGGGTAGATTTCAGTTGAGATGGAGGTTATTTGAGGGACCAGATTCCTGCAGAATCCACAAAGACAAGACAAAACACCCTATTCAGTGGTGGGATTCAGCTGGTTCGCACCACTTCGGCAGAACCGGTAGCTACTTTTTTGTTGCCCGGGCCCAGAACGGACTTCCAGAAGCGGCATCCACACGGAGAACTGGTTGCTCACCTATTTGAATCCCACCGCTAGCCTTCTTCCTTCATATTCAGGAACCCAGAACAAAACTATGATCAAGGAGCTCTAGTTCCAGGGACAAATTGCATAATGGAAGGATGGCCAGAAAGTGCCTCTACTTGGCTTCTATTTTCTCCCCTGCTTAATGCTGGCTTCCTGAGCCAGAGTATCTCTCCCAAATAATTGCCAAGCCATACTTGGAATCTCCAGAAAGACCCATGGGGACCCGTCAGTTTTGAAGATGTTTCTCCTCGTGTCATTTGTAATTTGAAAAAGGGATGTCAAGGCTCAGATGCCAAGTTTTCATCCTCCTTAAATCACCTACAAGGGTTGGCTGTATTTTGGCGTGGGGCAGCTGGTATCAAATACACAATTTAGCGATAGTTGGCTGACCCGTTTATTGTCCGATTGTGTAAACTCTGAGTTTGCTCACTTACTTGGGTATTTTGTAAATAGCAATGTCTCTTTTCTTTTTTGAGGTTACAGTACAAAGACACATGTAGGCATCGTATTCAATTCCCACTTCCAGAGCTGTGACAGAAAGTCAGAAATATTTATGCAGCATTGAAATATATATGCAACCAGCTAGCATACATTATTCAATATTAATAGGATCATATTCATTCCTTCTACATCTGATCATCCACATGTATAATGGTTCCACAAAGCAGACCCCTATTCTGTCTTGAAGTGATGGTCACCAACTATTACTGAGTTAACTGCTTTATACAAAAATGATACCAAGGTGGGTCTCTGGGTATTCAGTGTTTTTGGTAAGTTTTCATCTTGGGTTTTGCAAGTGCAGAGTTGTATCCAGAGAACTATTTCAGCCGTGCCTTCTTTCCGTGCTGTGTCAGGGGCTTTGCTGTCTCTGTCAAAGGAATAAAAAGGCAATATATCCAACCTCAGGATTAGAGTGGGTGGATCCATGCACGCTTTGAAAAAACTCAGAGGAAGGGGCTTCGGATGACGGACGGGCACAGACACAGCATTTCTCTGCTTCTCATTAAAGCAGCTTGACATTTTTCACATTTCTGGTGAGTTTGGAAAGAAGTTGCAGTGGCATTAAGGAGCCAATTTATAAAGTTCAGTGTGACTTTTTTTTTTGGTAAAGTTTTTATTAGTTTTTTTCATACAATCCAATAGTATTTATTCAACAAACGTGCTGTCTGAGGTTTATCATTCACTAATACAAATTTAATTTCTAATCCTTCATTCTTTTCTCCAGCCATGGATAAATTAAGTCCCAAGTTTGAAACTATTCTGTTTCTACTTTTTCTTTCAACCTCATAGGAAGTCTGTCCATTTCCGTACA